TGAATACAAGCTGAAAGTCCTTCTGTATTAGCATAAAAGCTGAAAATCCTTTTGTTTTTGCACACCAGCTGAAATTCCTTTCGTATATGCATCCCAGCTGAGTATCATGCCATATACACATACGCATTGAAAGTCATTTCATATTGTATACAAGATGAAAGTCCTTCCGTATTTGACGAAAAGGTACTTCCGTTCCATGCCATCGGAAAATGATTTTGTTTTTGCATACTACCTGAAAACCATTCTGTATGTGTATACAAGCTGCAAATCCCTTTTTTTAGCATATCAGGTGGAAATTTGACCGTAATCATGAAACAGGTAAAAATCATTCCGTATTGCATACCAGCTGAAAATCCTTCTATTTATGCATATAGCTGAAAACCCTTTCATATTTATATATCTTTCGAATATCCTTCCGTATTTGCATACCTGCTGATAATCATTCGATATTTGCATAAATATCCTTTCATATGTGCATACCAGCTGAAAATCCTTCCGTATTTGCATACCAGCTGAAAATCCTTCCGTATTTGCATACCAGCTGAAAATCTCGCCGTATTTGCGTACGGCTGAAGATGTGCACACGAGCTGAATTACCTTTGTGTATATTCATTTCAGATGAAAATACTTCCATATTTGGAAATCTCCCTATTTTTCCATTCTAGCTGGAAAACCTTCCATATTTGGATACAAGTTGAAAATCATTCCATATTTCTATACGAGATAAAAACCCTTCTTTATTTTTATACAAGCTTAGAATCCTTCCATATTTACCTACCAGCTGAATATCACTATTTATATTATTCGGACTATTGTCCTCATTTTTGTCGCCATATTTATTACAACGTTTCGGCCAGTTGTACGCTCCGGCCTTCTTCAGGTGGTTGGAATGTCGAACTGAACCCTTTCTTTCGCTCACTGAGGTAAACTGTTCAAGTTCCACGTGCCACGTTTAATGGATGTCTGTTATCAGTTATCTCCTGTTAATTCCCCTCTCCAATTTCTCCACCGCCTTAACCAGGTATTGAACTCACACTCTTTGGGTCCTGTCACTGGATCCAAACAACGCCTTTATCAACTGTGTCATGTGTTCTTGAGGTTCTATTTTTTTTATATCCGCTGAACTCATTCCCTATCAGTCCGTTTGCTGCCAGTATAAGTTCTTTATTATTCTAATATCATTCCCGAATATATCAAGGTTCTTGAAGTGTTCCAACATATCTTTCTGGTGTACTAAAAGAACGTTTAAGAAAGTGGAACAGACATGTTTCCTCCGTTTACGTTTAACATCTGCCAAAATCATCAAAGCCTGTGTTGCTCTCCTTTTTGAAACTGTCTAATGTTTTGGCATTGACTGCAGAAAATGACAGACAGTGATTGAAAGTTCCATTCATCAACTATTAGTTGCTAACAATTATATTTTCCGTCTTTCGGTAAAATAATTATGAATAATATTCCAATCAGTTAAATATTGAAATTCTAAATACTTGAATTTAATCAAGCCTAAGATGTTTACTTTTACATAAACAGCCAATAATAATCTTCTTTAGATCCGACGTACTATAAACTAATCTTGTACGATGAGAGACGCTTTCTTCTGCTAAAGGGGCGCAGTTTCAAATCCTGCCAAGGAGAGTATTCAGCCTTTATTAAGTTTTTTCGATTATTTAGGCCGGTAGTTGAAATAAAATACTGTTTAAATTTAAAATGAAGCGTCTACTCAAGTATTTGTATCCTTTAAAAATAACGTTTAAAGTGATAAAAATATGCCGGCTTAATAAATAAAATCCATTATTTCTTTAGAAATTGCTCCATTCGTCTTTTAAATACGAATCTGAGCAGTTTCTGGAAAAAAACAGTACATAGCCTTGTATAATTGTGGCTCTCTTCACGGCCGAGTAGAATAAAGCACGTCAGACAGTTTCTTCTGCAAAGAAGGACGTATATATATATATATATATATATATATATATATATATATATATATCTTTATCCGATTTAACAAGTAGAGAAGACAATATTTATGAATAAAATGACAACAAGAAAACTAGTAATTGTTGACGCTTTTCGTCCAATATGGACTTTATCAAAGCAAAATACGAAATGAATTTAATTGAACAAGGTAACTAATAACAACAAAAAACAGAATGTTCCTATACATATATATATATATATATATATATATATATATATATATATAATAAGTATAGGATTGGTGTTTACGAAATATATTCCAATAACTAACAAATGCTATTCTTAAAAGAGTGCTCAATACCGAGTAGAGCAAATATAATTATTCATTCGAAAATTATAACATAAATATGTTAGAAAATCACTACAAAAATGGCCATTTTGTTTCAACACTTCTTGTGTTTTATCAAGTGATAGTGTTGAATGGAAAATAAAGGGTTTTTGTTGAAACAAATTTTTGTAGTGATTTTTCTTTCTTCTTTAATGTGAGAAGCATTGTCCACGGTCATTCCTTGAGACGGGGCCAGACGATCAATCAACAAATCTACAATGAGCTCCAGTTTATTGTAACGGTTATTATAAAATTTATTTGTTTTTATATGTGCATTCTTAGTTGGTTCATTAGTTAAATATTATTCTTTTGCGGTCAGATTTATTTTTACTCCTGTGGCAGTGGAGACCTCTGGGCTCATTGGCCCTCGCTTGATGGCGTTTCTTCGGATGATTGGCGCGATTGCCTCATGAAACGGAGTGGCTCTTGTAGCGTGTCACTCTGGAGATGCTGGGAAAAAATGCTTTCTCTATCATTGTGGCTGGCAGAGGATAGCAAAAAAAAATCTTTATAGATACTTTGTTCAAATAAATTTTTATTTATTTGTTTATTATTATTTATTTACTTATTTATTGTTTTGAATTAATTTTTTCTTGTTTTTGTTTATTTATTTTATTTTATTCATTAATCCGTTTATTTTTTATTCTTGTTCGTTTTCGGTTTTCGATTTTTAAGGAACAGAGTAAAAATTTGTTTTCGTGTCTGCATTTTGAGATGAATTCTGATCGTTTATTTTGTAGTTTGTGTTCGTCTGGGAAGGTATCTATAGCTATTTTCTCCTCCAGACAAAGTTTACACTTTATGGATTTATTGTTTTATACTGATGATGCTTTTATTATTTTCCACGATATTTTACCTGTGATTTTTTTTTTTTTTTTGCTTTGAATCTCCCAGATATGATTATTGTGCTGTTGGCTTATTTACTATTTTTAAAGATGTTTTGTGTACATTTTTTGTTTGTTTCCAGGGTACTTCAGTTACTCCTATGTACATTTTTTTTCATTATCTGCTGATTTTACAGTGGCTTGGTATATTACATTGATATATTTATATAGACTCGAGTGTGTGAGCAACGATGAGTTTTTGTATAGGATGCAAACGAGGAGGAAGCTTATATTGGGCACCTTAATACATAAATATAGCATACCATAAAACTATATTTTTGTCATATATATATATATATATATATATATATATATATGAATATATATATAATGAATTGGTCAGAGTTGAATTAGGCCAGAAACAGTAGTATTAAAAAGTGCTGTCACACGTCTGAAGAAAATAAAACAAAATAAAATTTAAAATGCAGGGCTTGTAAAAAAAAATAAATTATATCACCCAATCACGCTACCTTGGTTTCATCCTTTCGGTATCTTCAGGCGAGTCAGACTAAACAATTTTCTAACGCTTTATTATTTAACAATAAATAAATGTAAATATTTTCGTCCAGGACGAAAATAATTACACCATGCATACACAATAAGAACTTCATTTTCAGTTCGTACGCATCAGGATGAAAATATGTATATTTTTCAACTCCACCACCGATACAATTTCAATATCTTTGCTTTTCTCCTCCCCTTTCTATTACACTTCATTTTGTGCGTGTGTTTATTTAAAAAAATAAAGCTTTAGGAAGTTATTTAGCCCGAATCACTTGAAGATATTAAAAGACTGAAACCAAGGTAGCGTGTTCGGTTGATCTCCTAATTTATTATATATATATATATATATATATATATATATATAAAGAGAAGAGGTCATATACTGGTTCCAACGAGAAAAAAGTGTATATATTAAAAAGAGGAGAGAAACCGCAAACATTTTTGGTTGTAATGTGGATCTTTTTTTAAAATATAAATTATGCTTTATTTTCCGTAATTTCACAACACGTTTTTAAGGTTTCCCGACCTTCTTCACGCAAAGACTAGATATGTCCACATATTATTAAAATGAATTAATTCTCCTTATGTTTTTCGATCTTAAACTTTTTCTTTTTTTTCTTTGGTATTGACACAAATGTCTTATATATTCCATCAACTGCACTAGAAATATTACTTTCTTACATAATAGTTTTTTTTGTTATTGCATTTAAATTAATTATACTACCTTAATTATATAATGAATAGGGATTTTTAAAATAATATATTTCTTCACCAAAATCAGCCATTTTTTTAAATGAAAGTTTTAATTCCTCCAAAGTGTAAGATCTCGTTTCGTCCGTGAGTAATGTCAGACGAGATTTACCGAGCAAACCCTAAAACCAAGCAAACAACATACAGATACACGAACTTTTATTGTAGGTGTCAGGCTATCACATTCTCCTTTGGAGAAAAAAAAACAAAAATTCCACGACATTGGTGTAGAATTTGCAACAGAGTCTTCTCAAGCATGCTCAGGAATAATTTTTTGTTTCCTGGTTCCCATTATCTAACAATATCGTTGATTTAAATATTCTCTAATCGTCTTGGAATCTTTCCATCGAATTTTTTATGTCTCGGTGTAAAACGTGCCCTGATTACTCTTATGAAGACGTGAGATTTCCACAGACCAGAATGAACTCTGGTCTGAACACTGACTGCGCCTGATGTGAACAAATGATTCTTAACCCAGCCACAGAATTCTCACATTAGGTAGTTAATTGTAAAATCGTTGTGATGAAATATTATCAGTTGGAATAAAAACGCTGCCTGAATTACTGTGTAGGAAGATCGTTTAAATTTAGATAGTTATGAACAGATATAAATAGATAGATAGATAGATAGATAGATAGATAGATAGATAGATAGATATAAAGAGACAATGATAGATAGATAAATATGAACAGACCATAATAGAACGATAGACAGATACATAGATTGTTAGATATGAATAGACTGTGATAGATAGATAGATAGATAGATAGATAGATAGATAGATAGATATGAATAGACAAAGATAGATAGATATATAGATATGAATAGATCATAATAGATAGATAGACAGACAAACAGATAGAGAGAGAGAGAGAGAGAGAGAAACAAACAGGCAGATAGATAGTTATGAACAGACCGTGATAGATAGATATATATGAATCGACAATGATAGATGAGCACGAATAGACTATAATAGTTAGATAGACATATACATATAAAGATAGATAGATAGATATATATAAAGAGACAATGATAGAGATAAATATGAATAGGCCATAATAGAACGATAGACAGATACATAGTTAGATTGTTAGATATGAATAGACTGTGATAGATAGATAGATAGATATCAATAGACAACGATAGATAGTTTGATATGAATAGACAATGAGAGATAGATATATATATAGATAGATAGATAGATATGAATAGACCATAATAGATAGATAGACCTACAGATAGATAGAGAGAGAGAGAGAGAGAGAGAGAGTGAGAGAGAGAGAGGTATGAACAGACCGTGATAGATAGATAGATAGATAGATAGATAGATAGATAGATAGATAGATATGAATAGAATCGGAGAAATATTTTAACAAACATGATACCCTTGTTCGTTAGCAATGGTGATTCCAAACAATCTATGATATTTGTTTTAAACGAGTTGAAAGCGATCGGGTATTAGTTAGAAAATTGTTCTACAGAAGAAAAAACAACAATGAACACTTAAAGCAATGAGAAAGAATCAATGACAACTAATAAAGAAATGCACGATGGGGAAAAAGCCATGATTATGTAATGAAAGGAATTGAGTTTCAGACGTTACATTGTAGGTGGTAATCAATTAAACGACGGGAATCCGGAGATACAAAATTATTTATAGATAGATGAAGAGATAATGGAAATATGGCAGTGACATATATATATATATATATATATATATATATATATATATATATGTGTGTGTGTGTGTGTGTGTGTGTGTGTGTGTGTGTGTGTGTGTGTGTGTGTGTGTGTGGTAGATAGATAGATAGATAGATAGATAGATAGATAGATATGAATAGACAATGAAAGATAAGTATGAATAGTCCATAATAGTTAGATAGACATATACATAGATAGATAGTTAGGTATGAATAGACCGTGATAGATAGATAGATAGATAGATAGATAGATAGATAGATAGATAGGGACAGACTGAGATAGGTTTTAACAGACTGAGAAAGATACGTTTGATATATGAAAGCAAACGTAAAGCAAAATCTCTAAAAGAGAGCAAGAAAGAAACAAGCAAAGAAAAGAAATGAAGGAAAGGTTGATTAGGTTACAGAATTAATTGAAACAAAAGAAAGAAAGAAAGAAAGAAAGACAGAAAGAAAGAAAGAAAGAAAGAAAAAGAAAGACTGATGGATAGATTGGTAACGGAATAAAAAGGAACGAATGAACGACGAAAGTTAAATAGTTATTAAAAGAATAAATGGAAAAAAGAAAAGAAAGAAAATGTAATGGAAAGTGGGGAGGTAAGTTAACAGATTAAATGGAAGCCAACTGAAGGCAGGAAGGAAAGGGGGATAGTCAGGTAACATGATAAATGTAAAACAAAATTATATAAAGAAAGAAAAAAAAACTGATTAGGTTTATTCATAAGAAAATATTTAAAAGACGCCGATGTTGAGTTAAATAAGTCTCTCTAAGGAGAGAATTTTCTACAATATAGAAGGAAGTATCTGTATTGGGTGTATTAGGGTAGATGGCGTCGAAGACGAATAGGTGGGAAATAAAATGAAATCAAAACAAAACATTAATAACATCTATAAAATTTAGAGCACGACGAAGTCTTGTGGTGAGATGGATTATCGGAAAGATTTATGGAAACACTTTAAAAAACGTGTGAAGTTATTTTTCACAAGATGTATTAAAGGAAAGAAAAAAATCACCGTAAAAAGAACATTTTTTTTCTACAAGGGAATTCTTGCCTTTTTAAGCTTTACTTCATTGAAATTATTTTTCTTTTGTTTATTTATCTTTTTGTTTCCTTTCTTTCTTTTTTCTTTTCTTTCTTTTTTCTTCTTTTTTGCTCTTTTGTTTCTTCTTTTACATGTTCTTACTTCTTCCTCTTCCTTCTCTTCTCAAGCTTTTATGCCTTTCCTTTTTTCTCTCTTTATTCTCTTTTATACACACTTTATTTTTATCCACTCCCTTATCCTCCACTCATATACCTATGAAAACTTATGGGTATGTCTTAATCCTCATAAATACTTGGACACTATTCTAAGTAAGGGCAATATGCTGCCTAAACTGTTTATTTCCCCTTCCCCACTCCCTTAGCAAGAGAGCGTCTTGATTTTGTCCAATGGGCAGTATACAGCGGCCTCTTATTTTAGAGGGTTGGAGGGCCCTACTAACATCAGTTATGTTTAGTTTGTTTTCTGTTAATATCTTAGTTTGTTATTGGTTCATCTCCCTCCCCTCTCATTTTATTTATCCATAAATTTTTAAGTACAAATATATAATCATTAGATTTTTATGTTATGGGACGCGTTCTGTAGGACCCCCTTGAGAGGATGCGGTATTATGGTGTATGGAGGAGTGATTGGTGACGGACGAGTTTTTGTGGTGAATGGGCAAATTGTAATGCGTGAATGGGTCGTGAATCGGATTAGCTAGGTATAAGATAGTTAGTGACGACAGGCCTTAACCCCTCCTCATTTTCGGCCTTGTGCCACAATTGTGTATAAAAACACAATAAATCTCAATATGCTGCCTAAACTCTCAGCGTGAGCTGTCAGCGTGGGAAGATCTTGCCGTGTCGAACTCTCTCATTGGGCAGAGAGGAACTCGGACGAGACTCTGCCGAAGGACAGAGTCTCGTCTGGGGAAATAGACAGATACCTGATCCGGCGTATGCGGAGGTCTACGGGCAATTTTTACCCGAGCCCAAGGACTCGGATTTCCCCATATTAAATTTGGGCGTGTTCCGCCTCCTACCTTGCAGGGAGGCAGGTAAATATCGTAGTAGTCCATCAATAGCAGTGGTTTACCTACTTCATGCCGCTGGCGAGTATTGTATTTTGTTGATGTTAAAAAGATTACCATTTCATTTCCAACCTCCATTTTGGTTATTCCTCATTCCTTTTCTAGGTTTCAACACTACTTAACAGCTTTTTCTTCTTCGATTTTTACTACTACTACTTATGCCTTGTTCATTTTCTTCTCTTCCTCTAAGGAAAACAGTATAGGCTGAGGGTTTTTCCAATCTCGCTTTCACATACTTCGTTCTAAGTTGCAGTGATGAGATAATGACTTTTTTTCAAGTCTGGTGATTATTATTATTATTAGTAGTAGTAGTAGTAGTAGTAGTTATAGCAGTAGCAGTTGTAGTAGTTGATGAAAAATGGGAAATCAACCAGTTACTACGTTAATTATCGCATAAACATTTATGTAATTACTGACTAAATATGCCTACTAGATAGACCGACGATCTCAGTGAGGATCATCCTGCTTCGAATCATTCAACTGGCGCTACACAATCACAAACAAAGTACTGTACCAAATAACAGAAAACGCATCACTGGAGGACTTTAAACAGCGGAAACCCATAAAATGGATATCACAGGTAACTCGAAGAGAAAAAATAATCAAGATGTGGATATTCCACACTACTTCAAATAAAAAGTTAGGAAGGAAATTCCAATCTATACTGGAAAGAGCAATAAAATTTAGTGGATGTGAGAAAATTATATACCTGAAAAAATTGTCTTAAGAAGAAGATTTAAAACATTGGCTGCTTGGTCAATGGATGGTGAATGTTGGCTTGTAAAGAAAGAGCTAATATCACCATCGCCATTAACATGTTTATATTAAATATAGTTTTAGAGAGAAAAAATAGTTAAAAAATAAGCATTAATAAATTTGATGAGAAAGACAGAAAGAAAGAAAGAGAAAAAAACACAAAATAAAGAAAGAAAGAAAGAAAGAATATTTCAAGCAAGGAATAAAGAAACAAACTAAAAGAAAGAAAGAAAGAAAGAAAGAAAGAAAATTTCAAACAAGGAATAAAGAAACAAACTAAAGAAAAAAGAAAAGAAAAAAAGAAAGAAAGAAAGAAAGAAAGAAAATTTCAAACAAGGAATAAAGAAACAAACTAAAAAAAGAAAGAAAGAAAGAAAGAAAGAATATTTCAAGCAAGGAATAAAAGAAAAGAAAGAAAAGAAAAAGAAAGAAAGAAAGAAAGAAAAAAGAAAGAATTTTCAAACAAGGAATAAAGAAACAAACTAAAAAGAAAGAAACTAAAAAGAAAGAAGTTTCAAGCAAAGAAAAAAGAAACAAACTAAAAGAAAGAAAGAAAGAAAGAAAGAAAGAAAGAAAGAAAATTTCAAACAAGGAATAAAGAAACAAACTAAAAAAGAAAGAAAGAAAGAAAGAAAGAAAGAAAGAAAGAAAGAAAGAAAGAAAATTTCAAACAAGGAATAAGAAGAAACAAACTAAAAGAAAGAAAGAAAGAAAGAAAGAAAGAAAGAAAAAAGAATATTTCAAGCAAGGGATAAAAAACAAACTAAAAAGAAAGAAAGAAAGAAAGAAAGAAAGAAAGAAAGAAAGAAAGAAAATTTCAAACAAGGAATAAAGAAACAAACTAAAAGAAAGAAAGAAAGAAAGAAAGAAAGAAAGAAAGAATATTTCAAGCAAGGAATAAAGAAACAAACTAAAAGAAAGAAAGAAAGAAAGAAAGAAAGAAAGAAAGAAAGAAAGAAAGAAAGAATATTTCAAGCAAGGAATAAAGAAACAAACTAAAAGAAAGAAAGAAAGAAAGAAAGAAAGAAAGAAAATTTCAAACAAGGAATAAAGAAACAAACTAAAAAAAAGAAAGAAAGAAAGAAAGAAAGAAAGAAAGAAAATTTCAAAAAGGAATAAAGAAACAAACTAAAAGAAAGAAAGAAAGAAAGAAAAGAAAGAAAGAAAATTTAAACAAGAATAAAGAAACAAACTAAAAAAAAGAAAGAAAAAAAAAGAAAGAAAGAAAGAAAACAATAAAGAAACAAACTAAAAAAAGAAAAGAAAAAAAAGAAAGAAAAGAAAAAAATTTCAAACAAGGAATAAAGAAACAAACTAAAAAAAGAAAAAAGAAAGAAAGAAAAGAAAAAAGAAACAACCAAAATTTTAAAAAAAAGAAACAAACTAAAAAGAAAGAAAAAAGGAAGAAAAAAAGAATTCAAAAGGAATAAAAGAAAACAAACTAAAAGGAAGAAAGAAACAAAACAAGGAAAAAGAAACAAACTAAAAGAAAGAAAAAAAAAGAAAGAAAGAAAGAAAGAAAAAAGAAAGAATATTTCAAGCAAGAAATAAACAAACTAAAAGAGAGAAAGAAAAAGAAAGAAAGAAAAACAAGCAAGAAAGAAAGTAACGGAAACTTATAGCAAGAAAGAAACAAACAAAAAAGGTAAGAAAAACAAGTAAGAAAGAAAGAGAATATATTGAGTTGACTCGGAACACTGACACTTTCATGGTGTCGGTTGAGCAACGGTTATCGAGTTTATTTTGATTTACAAAGTGAAACATCCAAACAAAACTCATTAGAGTAGAATTGTTGTCGTATACATCTGTATATTCACATCTGACGACGTCAAAATCAGTCAGTTGCAAAAATGAGTGATGTAAGAACTGACGCCAGGAAAATATGTGAATAACCAAAAACGCCTTTCAACATCTAAGCAGATTATAAAGAGATAGAAAAAATGAGTTAGAAACAAAAAATTGAGCTGCTATGCAATATCTAATCTTTTACACGTGCATGCAATAGAAACATATTGCCTTACATATGTTCGTAGCCGATGACGTAATTAAAAACAAAGAAAATAGGACAAGAACATTTGCGAAGAACCAATATATAGATTTCATGAATTTGAGCACAGTACTTGATTGACAATTACTTTTCCTTATTTTATTGTTGAACTTACTAAATTTAGCCGTAAGTTCTATTCTGAGGGTTCCTTCTCTCGCACGTTTCACCTATGAACCAGTTTCTTGCTACTGTACAGTGTAAAGATGACCGCTCTGCTAGAAGTGCTCGCCAAGGATGAAAAAAGAGCAGTGACCCGAATGTGCCAAGAACATGCTAACTGATAGATGATAACTCGCCAGTTCACCATTAAATGTAGCCATCTCTTCTACTCCAATAGCTTCATGTCTCGCACTTCTCCCCTGAGGAAATCCCTCTCCATTTCTTGGTTTCCTGATAGTTGTAATCTCCAACTATTCAAATGTAATGTCAATCGACGTCTCCAGATGCCCTGATCTATCCTCTATCCTTCTCTTCATCCTTTTCATCTATCACTCCTATTTGCTTTCACTCCAACTCTCTGTAACCCCTTGCGTGCTAGTGCCTTCCCGCCTTGCTTGGGGTGGAATGCTTTAAAAAAAAGCAAGTAACGAAAAACGAAAGAAAGAAAAAAATAAAAAGACAAAGGTTAATTATTGACGCAAAGACAGTAAGTTGTGGAGAGACATGAAAATCTATATTTTGGCGGACATGGCACATAAATGAAGAATATTGTCTAGTTAAAGTCAATGAGAACATATGTATTCATATATCCAGCACCCCACTCAGGATACATACGAATGAAAGTCAAAAATTATCCGCCCTGAAATCAAGCAACGTATACAATATGACTTTGGCGCCTTTCTTTCCTTCTTTCTTTCTTTCTTTCTTTCTTTCTTTCTTTCTTTTTTTTTTCACTGAAATCAAGCAACGTACACAATATGACTTTGGCGTCTTTCTTTCTTTCTTTCCTTCTTTCTTTCTTTCTTTCTTTCTTTCTTTCTTTCGTTTTTTTTCACTGAAATCAAGCAACGTACACAATATGACTTTGGCGTCTTTCTTTCCTTCTTTCTTTCTTTCGTTTTTTTCACTGAAATCAAGCAGCGTATACAATATGACTTTGGCGCCTTTCTTTCCTTCTTTCTTTCTTTCTTTCTTTCTTTCGTTTTTTTCACTGAAATCAAGCAGCGTATCCAATATGACTTTGGCGCCTTTCTTTCCTTCTTTCTTTCTTTCTTTCGTTTTTTTTACTGAAATCAAGCAACATATACAATATGACTTTGGAGTCTTTCTTTCCTTCTTTTTTGCTTTCTTTCTTTCTTTCTTTCATCGAATTCATATAGCTATTTTATATATATATATATATATATATATATATATATATATATATATATATATATATTCCATCTTTCCTCGCGATCAAAACGTAACAGTCCAATATTATTAGGTATTTCGGCGCGGCGTTTCTTTCAATTATTTATTTTCTTTTTACAACTGAAACCAAATTTATTCGATATGCCTTTCTCTTTTTAGCTCTTTTTTAAACTGAAACCAAACAGCCACTCTGCCTTTCTTTCTTTCTTTCTTTCCTTTCTTTCTTTCTTTCTTTTTTCTTTCTTTCACTGAAATCATACAGTATATCGAATATGACTTTTCCGTCTTTTCTCGTGATCAAAACGGAATGGTACATTAATTTCGAGGTATTGGCAGTTTCTTTCATTTTTTTCTTTCTTTCTTTCTTTCTTTCTTTCTTTCTTTCTTTCATTTTCTTACTGAATCAAAACAGCGTCACTGATATGTTTTTCCCGTCTTTCCATGTATCAAAACGGAATAGTCCATTATTTATGAGGTAATACTATGGACTAAACTACGTACCATCTCACTAAGTAGCTTAGGTAGGGATATGCAGAATTACAGCAAGTATTGTTATTATTATTATTATTATTATTAGTAGTAGTAGTAGTAGTAGTAAAAATAGTTATATTAGAGGTATTAGATGTCTCGTGTTAATATTGTTCAAGTGAGTCACGCCTCTAAATTTTCTTATATATATATATATATATATATATATATATCGATCATTGAATAGGACTGACAAGGTGTTTTCATTATTTTTTATACAATTTTTAATGCGATTTAATGTTTTTTCTTTTTTTTTTTAACCAGAGTGCTTTCGGCTATACATTT